AAATTCTCCCCGGTAACCCCACCGGGGCCCAGGGTGTGGTGGGTGGGAAACAAACCAACAGCAACCGCTGTCGCCAACGCGCTTTGCTCGCACGATCCAATTGCGCGCTCTGATGCGCGCAGTCCCTGCGAGCGCGCGCGGGCGTCCCCTTCTGTCATGATTATGGTTCCCTGACCCGAGCCTCCCCGAGCCTAAAGTCAACGCATAATCACCGACAGCCTATTCCCCGCGCCGCGCCCTGCGCGGCCCCTGGCAACTTTCGCGCGCCGCGCATCGCACGCGCCCCGCCGCGGCGCGAAGCGCACGCGGGCGGCCCGCTCCTCCGCGCGCGCGCGCGCGCTCCACCTGCGAACACGGCGCGCGACGGCCCCATCCTCCCACCCATTCCCCCAACCCATACCCCGTCCCCCGACCCCAGAAAGTGTAACGGTGCTCCGGGGGTGCAGAACGACCTTGGGGTGACCAAACCCCCCGAATGGAACACCTGCGTGAAGAAGGCAAGACCCTGGCGTGGCTCGCCAGTAATGCCGCTCTCCCCAACGCTGCTCTGGCTCCGCGTTTCTGCACCCCCAACGCTGTTCTGGGTCCGACGCCGCTCGCAACGGCTGCGCTTTGTTCGACGTGCCAAATAATTATATGCCCGGTGTCTTCGCCTCGCAATGAACGCCGTCGCCCAAATCAGCCCACCCTGGCGCGGGTCGCGCGGCGGCGGGCGCCGCGGGATTACCCGGCCAGGGCCTGACGGGCACGCGGAATAATCGCGCTCGCACGCCAGTTCGCGCAAGGTCACTTTTTCTTTCGCTGCTGCGCGCTCCACGCCCATGTCGGCGCTAACGCGGATTGACGCATCTGGGGCGTCTGGAAAGGCCTGATTCCGCGGCTGCGCGCCCGCTCGCCGAGGCGGGCGCAGACGGTCACCCCCCCGTCCCCGCCGCGTGAAGCAGCTCTGCGAGCCCAGTCGCCGCGCGGACATCCTCCGAGGCGGCGCCGCGGCGCTTGCCCAGCACCAGGGCCGCCAGGCAACGCGCGAGTCGCGTCGCGCGCGCGCGGGCCAGCGAGCCAACGCGCGACCGCAGTGCGCGGCGGCGCCGTCGACGCCGCAATCGCGAGACAAGCTAGCGCGCAGACAGAATGCTGCAGCGGAGCGCTCATCGCGCCCATCGGCGGCCAGCGTCGCGGCTTGGCGATTCACTCTGGCCGCGAGCTCGCCGCGGCGAGCACCCGGGCCCCCCTCGCGCGCCGCGGCGACGCGGGAGGGCCCAGCGAGCAGCGCGCCTCGGAGAGATGGAGATCCAAACCCTCTGGCGGCAAGCGCGCGGCGGGCGCTCGGCTCCAAGCGCGAGAAGCGCCGCGCGCGCGGCGCCGCGCTGGCGCGCGAGAGCGCTTGTTCGAGTAAGCTAAAGCGGGGAAGCGCGAATCCACGCGCGTGGGGAACGACGTGCCACGTCGCGCGAGCAGGCGGGCTGCAAGTTCGCAGGGGGTTCATCGAGCTGGCGAAGCAACGAAACATGTTGGACCCCCCCGCCAGAACTCGTCGCTGGCAAATGACGACGGGTTGGGCGGGCGGGCGGGGCGGGCGCGTCGGGCGCGACGGGCGCGGCGCCGCCGCGTCGCCCACGCGCGCGAGGCGGCGGGGCGGCGGCGGCGACCGCGAGGCGGCGGGCCCGACAACGGGGCCAGACGCCAGGCGGCGACGAAGCGGCGACGGCGACCGCAGGGCGGCGGACCCGACAACGGAGCCCAGTTCCTTCGGAAAGAAACGAACCGCCCTAATTGCAAGCACTGTTTGGGAATGCGTACTTCTGCGCGCATGTGTATATGTATACATGAATAAATACATGTGTATATATATACACATATATATATGTGATACTTCATAACTGTATATATGCGCGCATGCGCGCGTGCGCGCGCGTTGATATCAAAGCACATGCAATGAAAGCGGCCGGGCGGGCTGCGCTCGAACTCTAATCGCGCGCTGACGGCGCGAGGTTCGTCGTCGCCGTCGCCGCTGCCGCGCGAGACACAGCGCGGCAAAGTCGCGCACTGCGTCGCGCAAACGAGTAGCACTTCATCGGCGGCAGGGCGGCGCGCTCTACGTCGGGCGCGTGGCGCCGCCCGCTCTGGCGGGCGCCCTGAGGCAAGCAAACTTGGCAGCCTGCAAATCATTCCCCGCGCTGCAGATGCAACGGCGAGGCACCTCGGGCCTGGCGCCCGCGGACGCGGCGCCTGCACTGCCGAGGATTGCACCACTCGCCTGCGAACGCATGCGCCATCTTCAATTACGCCGACGAGCGCGAAGCGCTCGTCAAGCAAGGAGCAACGGAGCGCGCGGCAGAGCGCCGCTTGCCACGCAGAAATCCGAGCGCCAGTCCGCGCCGAAGACGCGGCAAACCCTGGGGCCCGAGCGACGCTCTGAACTGGGGGCGTGGTCAAAGCCGAACACGGACTCCGCGGAGCCGGGCAAACGGCGAACGCGCGGAAGGCGCGCGACGGGGAGAACCGCATTCGCATTCCCGCGGGGAGGAACCAACAAGGAGTGGCTCGCACAAACGCCGACGACACCCCCCCCCCCATGATCGGCTCCAACTAAGCGCGGAGACGCATGGAACGCCGAGGGCCGCCGCGCTATCGGCAGGCCGGCGGGGAGGAGCGCGCGCCCGCCGCACTAAGATCGACGATCGCATTGTTTCCCGCTGGGTCGGGGCGCGGAACGACGCGAGCGCGCGGCGCTGAGGGGCAACGCCTCGCCGGACAGCCTCGCGCGCCGCCTGCGCCGCGCGCGCGTTCGGCTCGAGTCGGGCTGCGCGCGCGCGAAGCAGGGGCCCGCCTCAGTCAGCGCGCCCTTGTCGTCGCGGATTCCCGCGTCAGCAGCGTCGCGCACGGCGCGTTCGCGCTGCGGCCGCGCTGCGCCGGGGGGGTCGCAGCTAGACGGGCCGCGCGTCCTCCGCCAATTCGCGCAAGGAAGCCAGAACCTGCTCCGTCGACTCTTCTGCGGCGCCAGCGACGACGATCGCGCGCCGCCTCGCGGGAGTCTTTCCGCGCCGGGCGCGCGCAGGGTCAACTCGACATCTGCGTCGCCAGCGGCGACGCCGCTCGTGCCGGAAGCGCTGGCCCGCTCGCCTGACGACGCGCGCGTCGCCGGCCGCGCGTCGATCCGGCGGCGCGCTTGCCCGGCCGGCTGCGACGGCGCGAAATGATCGAGCGGCGCTGGCTATGGCAGCGCACGCGGATATAGCGAAAAAGACGCGCTGCATCGCGCCGGTCGCCGCGAGCCCAGCCGCGCGAATCTCCCGCGCGCCGCGCGCCCTCGAATCGCTTGAACCAGGGCGGCGGGGCATGTGGTCCTGTCGGAAAGAAGGACATGTGCATCTTCTCTGTGCCTTCACCGAGTAGCATTGCGCATGCTCGGGCTCGCGATGGCAGGTGGGGCCGCGCGAGGACAAATCGTCGGCGAGTTAATCGTCCGCCGAGCGCGCGACGCGCGCGCCGAACTCCCGCGTCGACGCCCGCGTCGGAAGCGCATTCGCCCATCGCGCTTCTTGGGGAAGCTGCGGCGCACCACGCCAGGACTGCAAGTCCCACGCGCGGCGAGCGCAACCCAACAATAACAAAAAACATGCCAAGCGAAGGCGCCGGGGATGCTCGCGCGCGCGCGCTTTCCCGCGCCCCCCCCCCGCTTCGCGAGCTGAGTCGTCGCGAGCCCGCGCGGGCGCCGTCGCACCTGCCCTCGCCCCTCCTGCCCAGCGAGGCGGAGCGGAGAGGCCAGGCGTCGGCTGCGTTGGCGCTGGCCCCGCCGCGAGCACCCGTCGCGCCGCGCAGATCAAGCGCGCGCGCGCCCAGCCGCTCGCGCGGTCTGCGCGATCGCAACTGGGGGCGGGGCGGGGCGGGGGACGCGGCGCGCGCTCTGAGTTAGTTATTTGTTCGCGCGCGCCTTCGGGCGGCAGCCCCGCTCCGCGGCGCGCCTCCCCCAGTCGCGACCTCTCCTTGGTCTCTGGGGCGGGGACCTCGAAACTCCGCTCGATTCTCCCGCCGGGAGACGCCCTCGCCCCCGGCCCCCAATACACCGCCCACCAGGCCCTCGAGCACGGCAGGCCGCGCGCTGGGCCCGGCCCGCGAGGAGGCCACGCATCGGCCCGCCCAGGCCGGGCCGCTGCGCAGCGATGGCCCGAGGCACCAGGGCGGCGGCTCCAGGTCCGCCCAGGCGGGGCGGGGGCGCTGGCCACGACGGGCGAGGGCGACGAGAGGGGGGGCGTTGCGTCCGCGGCCCGCCGGCGCGCAGGCCGCGCGGGAGAAGCGAAAGCCAAGCGATTCGCCCCGCGAGCTGCGCCGCGCCGTCCCGGCGAACTTCCGCGGGCAAGCTCTCGCGAGCCGAGGCCTACGCGCAAAGGGGCGTGTGGCCCAAACGCCGTTCTATACACGCCATGAAGCAAACGCTCCCCCTCGCCCCGACCCGTCGCCTCGCCTCGGCGCGCCGCCGCAGCAAGCGCGCCGTTGGCGGCCGCTGAGCCGCGTGCGACCGCGCAGCGCAGCGTCGCGCGGCGGCGTCAGCGGCCTCTGGCGACCGCCTCCCGAACCATGCCCACCTCTGCCTTGGCGCGCGCCGCGCAGCCAGCGCCGCCAGCGGACCCGTGACTTCAGCGGGACTCCCTCGGCCTTGGCGAGCGCGGCTTCCATGCGCAGAATCTGGGGGCGCATCTCCTCCATCCGCGGGGTCAGCGATGTCGCCCCTGGCGGGGCGCGCAGCAGCGGCGCCCGCAAAGCGCGCATCTCAGCGGTTCGCGCTGGGATCCAGCTGCTCGGAAGCATCGCGCCGTCTTTCCATTGACTGGGGCAGCAAGCGCAGCGCCGGCGCCGGCGCGGGCGCGCGAGTTTCGCCTGGACGAGGGAAGCCATCGTCGGGAACGGCACCGCGGGGGGAATTGCTCGAACGCCACCCTTGCCGCGCAAACGTTGCGCCCCGGGCGAGCGGCCCAGGCGCGCTACCTGCGGTCCGGTACCTTGCCGAGCAAATTCAACAAACCCCGCGGCGCTGTCGCTGAACGCGGCTCGACGGAGGCCGCCCGCTGGCACGGCGCTGCCATCTGCGCCGGGCCCAGCGCGCAGCGCATCCAAGACGGTTTGCGTCGCGCCGGCCATCTCAGAAGCCGCCTTCGCCAAATCGGGCGTCTGGCGCGTCTTGCGCGCGCGGCGACGGGGATGCGATGGCGGCGGGGAGGGGGGGTGGGGGGGGGGGGGGGGGGGGGGGTGGGGGGGGGGGGGGGGGGGGGGGGGGGGGGCGACCTGCGACATGCGCCCGCGGGACGCCCTCCAATTTCGGCGATGCTCGATGTCCGAAATCGCTCGAAGTGTCGCTGCGTCCGCCGGCCGACGCGGGGCCACGTTGAATTGCACCGCAGGGGCAGCGCCCGCCGCGCGGCCGACCCGATGCGAGAGGAAAGATATAGTTTCTCGGCTGCAGGAGAAACGCCGCAACCGATCTGGCGGCGCAAGCCATCGCCAAGGGTCCGCGCCTCTGCGCAACTTCCCACGGCCTTCGGCGGCCGCGGCAACCGACGACGCGCGCTGTCGTTGCGGCGGCAAGCGGGCCGCGCCTCGTAGCGAGCGCCCTCTGCGCAGAAGAATTTCCCGAGCGCCGCGCCAACTCCGCGACCGCGCTGCCGATCAAATCTTGCGCGATTTCGAACGCGTGCGAAAAATAACTGCGGACGCTGCGCATGCCAGCCTGCCGATGAGACGGCGGGCTCGGCGCCCCGGCGCGCGCGCGCCGCGGGGGCGCGCCGCTTCGACGGCCCGCCTGTCCTCTTCAAGTGAACTGCAGTCTGGTAGGCGTCGCGCGTCTTCCAACGAGCGATGCGCTGCGCCTTATGAGATCGGCTATTTCTGGATAAGGCGCGGCCGGGGTCCTGGCCGTGCGCGCGGACGCGCCAGCCAGCGCCCTTGCCGGCGCTTTGGCCCGCAAGGGCGATTTTTCGAGCACAGCCTCCCTGTGCGCCGCGGCGGCCTCAGGACGCGCGCCTTCCCCAACTGCACGCGCGCCCCTGCGCGCGCGCCGCGAGGGCAGGCGCCGAAAAGAACGAATCTGCGAACAGCGGCCGCGCTCGCAAGTCATGCAAGCCACAAGCACAAACATGGCAAGCATATTCGCAAATCGGGCGAATCGCAGATGGGGCCCGTTCCGATTCCTCCGCGCTGCCCAAGCGACGTCGATGAGACTCCTGCAGACGACGGGGCTGGGGGCGCGGGAGAGCGCGGAGCGACGAAGCACTCCGACGCAGCTGCTCGCAACGCAAAGCGCACCTGGGACTTTTCGGAAGAAGCGCTGCTCTAACGAGGGGGCAGGGTGCTCGCGCGCGCGCGCGCCGTCTAATTTTTGTCAGGCCACCCCGCGCCACATTGGACTGCTGCGATGCTGGGGCCGCGCGCGCGGGGAACCATGGCTCGCGCGCCGAACCCCATGTAGATTTCTCCATCCTGGTAAAACCGGAAAACCTGTCACGCGGACGCGCGCTCTGAAATTTCCGAGGCGATCTTCAATGCGCCCGCGCGCGCGCGCGCGGCCGCGCCGACGGCGCGGTCGAGCGACTGCGCTGACCTTTTGCGACGGACGCAAGGGCCAGTGTACCCCGCTGGAGCCAAGCAACCGCCGTCGGAGTCCAATGACCACGACGAGGGACACGGAGCTGAATAATCAGTAGGGCGAGCACCTGGGACCGCGCTGCGCTGAGAAACGCGCGGGCAGACGCGCCTCTCGGGATCGCTGACAAATACCGGTCGCAAGGGACGTTGCCCCCGCACCTCTCGGGACCGCAACTCGCTCGGCTCGTAGCGCGTCGCTATTTGCACAGGCAGCGCACCTCGCCGCGAGGTCCATCTTTTTCGGCGGTGTGCCATGCCCCCTGCGCATCCGGAAGCCGCTGCCGCGCGTCTCGCAGCGAGCCGCATGTGAAACCAAATTCAACGACTGAGTCGCAAGAGCCTGCTGCGCATAGCCATCGCACCGCGCGGCGGGCAATGGCTGCGACGCCCGCGCCCCGACCTGCGAAACCCAAGGGTGCCTGCAACGGTTGCGCTCTGTCTGACGTGCCAAATAATCATATGCCCGGTGTCTTCGCCTCGCTATGAACGCCGTCGCCCAAATCAGCCCACCCTGGCGCGGGTCGCGCGGCGGCGGGCGCCGCGGGATTACCCGTGGGGGGGGGGGGGGGGGGGGGGGGGGTGGTGGGGGGGGTGGGGGGGGGGGGGGGCCCTGGCCAGGGCCGACGGCACCCGGAATAATCGCTCTCGCAGCCAGTTCGCAGCAAGGTCACTTTTTTCTTTCGCTGCTGCGCGCTCCATGCCAATGTCGGCGCTAACGCGGATTGACGCATCTGGGGCGTCTGGGAAGGCCTGATTCCGCGGCTGCGCGCCCGCTCGCCGAGGCGGGCGCAGACGGTCACCCCCCCTTCCCCGCCGCGTGAAGCAGCTCTGCGAGCCCAGTCGCCGCGCGGACATCCTCCGAGGCGGCGCCGCGGCGCTTGCCCAGCGCCAGGGCCGCCAGGCAACGCGCGAGTCGCGTCGCGCGCGCGCGGGCCAGCGAGCCAACGCGCGACCGCAGTGCGCGGCGGCGCCGTCGACGCCGCAATCGCGAGACATGCTAGCGCGCAGACTGAATGCTGCAGCGGAGCGCTCATCGCGCCCATCGGCGGCCAGCGTCGCGGCTTGGCGATTCACTCTGGCCGCGAGCTCGCCGCGGCGAGCACCCGGGCCCCCCTCGCGCGCCGCGGCGACGCGGGCGGACCCGGCGAGCAGCGCGCCTCGGAGAGATGGAGATCCCAACCCTCTGGCGGCAAGCGCGCGGCGGGCCCGGCATTCCAAGCGCAGAAGCGCCGCGCCGCGCGGGCCGCCGCTGGCGCGGAGAGCGATTGTTCGGTAAGCTAAGCGGGGAAGCGCGATCCACGCGCGTGGGGCAAATGACATGATTCCCTACGCCCGCACTTTCATGTAGTTTCGCAGGCCCTTGGATTCCTTCGGGGTTCTCGAGCTGGCGAAGCAACGAAACATGTTGGACCCCCCCGCCAGACCTCGTCGCTGGCAAACGACGACGGGTTGGGCGGGCGGGCGGGGCGGGCGCGTCGGGCGCGACGGGCGCGGCGCCGCCGCGTCGCCCACGCGCGCGAGGCGGCGGGGCGTCGGCGGCGACCGAGAGGCGGCGGCCCCGACAACGGGGCCAACGCCAGGCGGCGACGAGCGGCGACGCGACGCAGGGCGCGCGCTGGACCGACAACGGAGCCAAGTGCCGGGGATGCCAAGTGAACATGCCAAGTGAAGGCGCCGGGGATGCTCGCGCGCGCGTGCTTTCCCGCGCCCCCCCCCGCTTCGCGAGCTGAGTCGTCGCGAGCCCGCGCGGGCGCCGACGCACCTGCCCTCGCCCCTCCTGCCCAGGCGAGGCGGGGCGGAGAGCGCCAGGCGTCGGCTGCGTTGGCGCTGGCCCCGCCGCGAGCACCCGTCGCGCCGCGCAGATCAACCGCGCGCGCGCGCCCAGCCGCTCGCGCGGTCTGCGCGCCAACAAATGCGCGCGAGTTGACTGCGATCGCAACTGGGGGCGGGGCGGGGCGGGGGACGCGGCGCGCGCTCTGTGTTAGTTATTTGCTCGCGCGCGCCTTCGGGCGGCAGCCCCGCTCCGCGGCGCGCCTCGCCCAGTCACGACCTCTCCTTGGTCTCTGGGGCGGGGGCCTCGGCGAAACTCTGCTCGTTTCTCCCGCCAGGCCGCCAGGAGACGCCCTCGCCCCCGGCCCCCAATGCACCGCCCACCAGGCCCTCGAGCACGGCAGGCCGCGCGCCGGGCCCGGCCCGCGAGGAGGCCACGCATCGGCCCGCCCTGGCCGGGCCGCTGCGCAGCGATGGCCCGAGGCACCAGGGCGGCGGCTCTAGGTCCGCCCAGGCGGGGCGGGGGCGCTGGCCACGACGGGCGAGGGCGACGAGGGGGGGGAGCGTTGCGTCCGCGGCCCGCCAGCGCTCAGGCCGCGCGGGAGAAGCGAAAGCCAAGCGATTCGCCCCGCGAGCTGCGCCGCGCCGTCCCGGCGAACTTCCACGGGCAAGCTCTCGCCCCAGGGGCGCGCCGCCCGCGCGTGGCCCAAAACTGCCGCGCCATGAATCAAACGCTCTCCCTCGCCCCCCCGCCCGCGTCGCCCCGCCGTCGGCGCGGCCGCCGCAGCAAGCGCGCCGTTGCGGCCGCTGGCCGCGTGCGACCGCGCAGCGCAGCGTCGCGCGGCAGCGTCAGCGGCCTCTGGCGACCGCCTCCCGAACCATGCCACCCTCTGCCTTGGCGCGCGCCGTGCAGCCAGCGCCGCCAGCGGACCTGTGACTTCAGCGGGAATCCCTCGGCCTTGGCGAGCGCGGCTTCCATGCGCAGAATCTGGGCGGCTTCCTCCTCCAGCGCGGCGCAAGGGCGTGTCCGCCCTGGCGGGCCCGTCGCAGAGCGGCGCCCGCCCCCCGCGCACTCAACGGTTCGCGCTGGGATCCAGCTGCTCGGAAGCAATCGCGCCTCTTTCCATTGGACTGGGGTTGCAAAGCGCAGCGCCGTCGCGGGCGCGGGCGCGGCGACTTTCGCCGTCGCAAAGGATGCCATCGTCGGGACGCCACACCGCGGGGGGAGAGGCCCGAACGCACCCTTGCCGCGCACACGTGGCGCCGGGCGAGCGGCCCGGCGCGCTACCTGCGGTCCGTTACCTTGGCGAGCAAATTCTTCAACAAACCCCGGCCGGCGCTTTCGCTGAACGCGGCTTCGACTTGGATCGCCCGCTGGCACGCGCTCCATCTGCGCCGGGCCCAGCGCGCAGCGCATCCAAGACGGTTTGCGTCGCGCCAGCCATCTCAGAAGCCGCCTTCGCCAAATCGGGCGTCTGGCGCGTCTTCCGCGCGCGGCGACGGGGATGCGATGGCGGCGGGCGACCTGCTCCATGCGCCGCGCGCCCTCCAAGTTCCGGCGCTGCTCGATGTCTGAAATCGCTCGAAGTATCGCTGCGTCCGCCGGCCGACGCGGGGCCTCGTTCAATTTCACCGCAGGGGCAGCGCCCGCCGCGCGGCCGACCCGACGCGATAGGAAAGATATATTTTCTCGGCTGCAGGAAAAACGCCGCAACCGATCTGGCGGCGCAAGCCATCGCCAAGGGTCCGCGCCTCTGCGTAATTTCCCA